TGAGTTGTGAGCCGCCCTGAGTCCCTTCAGGGAAAAGGGCGGCATACAAATAAAGCAAAATGAAAAATGAAATGAAATGAACTCGAGCAACAGCGGCAGGAATTAAATCCTGTCCACATAAACAAGAAGGAGAGAAATGTGGTTTGCCTTCCCGGGTTGTGACGGGGCGCCTGCTTGATCTGGGGGGTCCCACTGCAGCCCCTGACGTCTCTCCTCGTCCCCAGGAAGGCTCCTGGCCGGATTCCCTGCAGGAAAGGCGATGGAGATGAAACGGCTCAGCTTCTCCCTGGTGCTCGTCCTCTTCCTCGTCCTGGCCTTGCAGATCTTGTCAGCCATCGATTTTGACCCGTATCGGATCCTGGGCGTCAGCAGGAGTGCGAGCCAGGCGGACATTAAAAAAGCCTACAAGAAACTCGCCCGGGAGTGGTTAGTAGATCCAGTTCAGAGTAACCCGATTCTGATGAGGATTAAAGTGATTTGTAGCCAAACTGCTCGCCTGACAAGTTGGGGTTTTCAGTGCTTCTGCTCCGACCAATTCCTAGTCACAGGAAAATAGGCGAGCCATTAAAAGCACCTTCGGATGCTTAATGGCTCATTAAAACGCCAATGAGTTCCTGTAGCTCTTTGTTGTTTCTTTGATTGTCTGTTTGCTTTGTTAGACACATTTTTAGATTGCTAGCTGTGTCTTCCTCTTGAAATGATATACCAGCAGTAAATTAGCAGCAGCAACAGCACTTAGCCTCATATACTGCTTTGTGGTACTTTTACAGCCCTCTCTAAGAGGTTTACAATGTCAGCAGTGCTTGCATATTCCCCCCCCCCCCCAAAAAAAAACACCAATCTGGTTCCTCACTTTACCGACCTCGGAAGGACAGAAGACTGAGTCAACCTGGAGCCGGTCAGGATCGAACTCCTGGCTGTGTGCAGAGTCATCCTGCAATACCACACTCTAACCATTGCACCACGAGGGCTCAAAGTTGCCTAACTATAAATAACAGTCAATTAAAGATGGTCAGATTTAAAGCAGAGCTCTCTCTCTCCCCCCCCCCCCCTGTGCATAACTCTGTGAAGCTGTCAGTTCTTGAGCTGCTGCAGCTGATTTTCTCCTTCCCTCGACCTTCCAGGCATCCGGACAAGAATAAAGACCCAGGAGCGGAAGACAGGTTTATACAAATCAGCAAAGCCTACGAGGTACGGAGGCCACACACTGTGGGTGCAGATCTGTACGAGAGGGACAGCTGCAGGGGGTTGGGGGATCGGGAAGGCCGGTCGGGAGGAAAAGAGGGGACGAGAGACCGGCTCTTCCCGCGCAGATCCTGTCCAACGAGGAGAAGCGGTTGAATTTTGACCGTTACGGCGACGTGGGCGAGAACCAGGGCTTCCCGCACCAGCAGCAGCAGCAGGCGCCGCACCGCCATGCACATCCCTTCCACGAGAGCTTCTACTTTGACGAGTCCTTCTTCCACTTCCCCTTCAACTCGGAGCGCCACCAGGACTCCCTCGACGAGAAGTACCTGCTCCACTTCTCCCACTACGTCAACGAGGTCGTCCCCGAGAGCTTCCGGAAGCCTTACCTCATCAAGATCACCTCCGACTGGTGCTTCAGCTGCATCCACATCGAGCCTGTCTGGAAGGAGGTGGTGCAGGAGCTGGAGGCGCTGGGTGAGCCTTGGGGCGGAGGGAGGGGAGGGGCAGCAGGTGAAGCTGAGAGTCAGAGGCCGGGCATTGCTTTTGGGGGACGGAGATCCCCTCGGCATCCGAAAAGGCTGGTCTGGGGGATTGGGGGGAGGCCGTCTGAGGTCGTCTGAGGTCAGTCCAGAGCCGGAGGCTTCAGCTCCCCCTGAGCAGGGGAGGCCTAGAGCTCTCCCGGGACCCTGTGTTGCTTCCCTGTTGAGGGCTTTGTCCTCCCCCTGCCAGGTGTGGGGATCGGTGTCATCCATGCGGGCTACGAACGGCGCCTGGCCCAGCACCTTGGAGCGCACAGCACCCCGTCCATCCTGGGCCTGATCAACGGGAAGGTCACCTTCTTCCACAACGCGGTCGTCCGGGAGAACCTCCGGCAGTTTGTGGAGAGCCTGCTCCCTGGGGCGCTGGTGGAGAAGGTGGGCAGCGGCTGTCGGGTGCTTTTGGACCCCCCTCTCCACAGACCCCCCCTCGGTTCCTAGGAAGGAGCCCGATGGACGGGGAGGGGCCCGGAGGAGAAGACCGGTGGTTCTCAGCCTGTGGTCCCTGGGGGGGGGGACGACGACTCACAGTGGATCTAGGGGGTCACAGAGGCCTTGGGGGTCCAGAGTGAAAAACGGTATTTCACGGGGGCTCTGTGGTGGTGAAGAAAAACTCGTTGGCTTAAACGTTTGCTCTTTGCTTTCTGCTGAGGGGTGGGGGAGGGAGAGGAGTAAGGGGCTGAGGGGACGGGGTGGGGCAGCACCCAGCTTCAGAGCGGGGGGGGAGGGGGGCTGCCAAGGGTCCTCCCTGCTCAGAGGCTCAAGGGCCCCTTGTCAAATCCAAGGGAGCTGAGAAACACCTTTGGAAAATCCCCCACCACCACCCATCAGTATCCAGGGCTCCGTGGCCCCCTTTCAGCTGGCAGTGGGGGGTTCTGACTGCCCCCTCCCCCCGGCAGATAACAGACAAGAACTACGTCCGGTTCCTGTCCAATGGGAAGAAGGAGAACAAGCCGCACATCCTGCTCTTCGACCACCTGCCCCTGGCGCCCCTCCTCTACAAGGTCGGTCTCTCAAACGCCGGCCCTTTCGAGGGGGGAGCCCCTTTTGGGGCCGGGGGGAGGAGGAGCCCATCCTCCCAGGCCTGGCAGTCCACAGCCGAGTTCAGGAGGGCGTCTCTTCTTGAGCCACCGAAGGGCCATGGAGAAGTCGTGGGGGGGGGAGGCTTCATTGGTGGTGGTCCTGAGCAGCTGATCCTCCCCCCTCTGCGGGCTGGGGCATGTGGCGGGGGTCCGGGGGGGGGGTCTGCCCTGACTGCCCTCCCCTTCCAGCTGGCGGCCTTCGCGTACAGAGACTACCTCTCCTTCGGCTACGTCTATGTGGGGCTCCGGGGCACCGAGCAGCTTTCCCGGCAATACAACATCAACGTCTACACACCCACCATGATGGTCTTCAAGGAGCAGATCGAGAAGCCGGCCGACGTCATCCAGGTGGGCCCCATGGGACCCCCAGCACAGGCCCAGCCCCTTTGGGGCCCCTCTCCCTCGGGGCCTCTGGGGGCCCCGGCTTCTCTCCAAAGGGGGGAAGTCTGGATGTTTCGGAAACCAGCAGCCTCTGGTTATTTGTGGGGAGGGGGAGTGGGGGGGGAGAGAAGGTGGAGAAAGTGGCCTCGGGGCAGGAGGCCCCCTGTGGGGCAGGCAGTGATGGAGAAAACCCAGGGGGAAGGCGAGGCTTTCAAAGGGGGGGGGGTCAGTCTTGGCCTTTCCCTTCTCAGAAGGTTGCGCCCATCATTCCCGTTGCGAAGCCAGGAAGTGGCCGAGTGAGTTTTGCCCCGTCCTCCGGCCTCTATTGCCACGGTTGTTAAGTGAATCATCGCAGTTGTTAAGTTAGTCACACGGGAAGGGAATCCCCCACTGGCTCTGCCGGCCAGAAGGTTCCCAAAAGGGGATCGTGAGACTCTGGGACACGGCGACCGTCATAAATGTGAGTCGGTTGCCAAGCGTCCGGATTCTGACCACGGGGGGATGCCGTGATGGCCGTAAGTGTGAAACAAGGACCCTCTGGGTCCCTTTCTTCAGCAACGTTGTAAATTTGAGCGGTCGCTAAGTGAGGAGTTGTAAGCGGAGGATTCCCTCCCCTCCCCCCTCCCGCAGGCCCGCCAGATGAGGAAGCAGCTGATGGACGACTTCCTGTCCCAGAACAAATTCCTCCAGGCCTCCCGCCTGACCAGCCAGCGGCTCTTCCAGGAGTTGTGTCCCGTGAAGAAATCCCACCGGCAGCACAAGTGAGTGTCCCTCCCCCCCTCCCCCTCCATCCAGCCCCTGAAGGGGGACTCGGACTCCCAGGATCCCCAGCGGTGGCCAAGCAGGTGACCACGCCCCCAACCCCCGAGAGGGCTGGTCCCAGGCAGATGGGCTCTGGAGTCCAGGCATTCGTGGAGGGCCACCGACTATGGATCAGCCTTGGTGGCGGGCACAGCAGAGCCCGGAGTCCTGGGTGGGGGGGCTCAGACAGGGCCTGGGTGGTCTTCTGCCAAGGGGCCAGTCCTCATGCTTCCCTGGGATGCCGCCCCCTTCCCTCCCCTTGTGCCGCTGCAGGTACTGCGTGGTGCTGGCCACGGGCGAGGGGGAGAAGTACGCGGAGGGCTACGAGGCCTTCCTGGCCTTCGCGGTGGCCAACACCAAGGAGACCCTACGCTTCGTCCACATCTACGGCGACAACCAGCCGGACTTTGTCCGCACTCTCCTCCAGGGGGACGCCTGGCTCCAGGCCAAGTCGGCTGTGAGTGTCCCCTCCCCTCTCTGCACTCCCCCTGGGGGAGCAAGAGCAGCACCCGGGTGGCCCCCGCTTGCATGGCGTTGGGGGAGGGGTGTGTGTTTGAGGTGGGGGGGCGTCTCTGCATTGCTGGGGGCGGCAGCAGCCCCGTTGGAGGTGCCGGAGGGGCAGGAGCTCCGATGCCCACTGGAGGGGGTGCCCTGACCCCCCCCCCCTCGGGCTTCCCTTCCGCAGGTGCTGATCCTGGAGAGACGTACCAACAGTGGGCAGGTGGTCTACAGGGCCCTGGAGGAGCCCTGGACGGGCACGGAGGAGGCCGCCTTCACCCTGCTGGACTTCCTGGACCAGCTGAGGATGGACGCCACCTTCCTCTCTGCCCAGGCTGTCCTGGCGGACCTGACGGACGAGCTGGCGCCTGTAAGCCCTCGGGGGCAAGGGGGGGGGCACCCCAGGGGTCAGCAGGGGGAGGAATGTGGGTCTCTCCCCTGGAGAATCCTCCCCAGTCCAAAGGCCGAGGGGCTTTCATTTCGGGGGGGGGGGGGGCCTGGGCTAGGCTGCCTGTCTGGCTGATGGTCCAGCCGCCAGGGACTGACCCGGCCCCTCTGGGGGCTGCCCCCCTGCCCGTCCTCCAGCCCCTCGGTTGACCCTCCGTGGCTCCTCTCTGTGGCAGATTTTCTTCCTCCGGTGGGCCTACTCGGCCGTGGACTACGCCGTGGACTGCTGGGAGAGCCTCTTCCGCAGCAACTGGTGCGTGTTCCAGAGGGCCCCCCCACGTCCGCTGGGCCTCCAAAGCCCATAATTCCCTGCTGCCCTCAGTTGGTGAATTTTGATAGAAAATAGAAAGCCCCCCCCCCCAATTCAGTCCTGCTGTCCCAAGAAAAGGGAAAGTCCCAGGCCCCCCTGCGCCCGCTCACCATCTGGAGGCTGGGAACTCACTTAGCAGTAGACTGGGATACCCCCCCCCCAAACAGGTAGAAGCCCCCGTGTGACCCAGAGAGGCCCCTCGGGTCTCCCACCCTTAAAATCATGCCGGCCACCTTGTCTGGCCCGTGGTGGTGTTGGGGGGGGGGGGCAGAGGGTCTTTCATCCGTCTCTCTCTCTCCTCCAGGCGGGAGATGATGCCTTTGCTGTCCCTCATCTTCTCTGCGCTCTTCATCCTCTTCGGGACGGTGATCGTGCAGGCCTTCAGGTGAGACCCCCCCCTAGTCCCCTGGGTCCGTTTTTAGGGGGGAGGGAGGTTGGGGGGGGGGTCAGAGGATTCCGGAGCCCCTGCGACGATCCCCGCTTTCTCTCCTCTTCCAGCGATTCGAGTGAGGAGAGGGATTTGCCTCCCGCCAAAAAGGAGGAGCCTCCCGCCAAGAGCAGCGAGAGGAACGACATGAGCTTCCCCAAAGAGGATAGGTGTGTCTGTGGGTCGGGGCCCCCTGCTGGCCCTCCCCCACATCTGTGGAGGCTCCTTCCCCTCTGCTCCCCCGCCCCCCCGGTGTGATGACCGCCCGCCGCGTCTCCTTGCAGGATTCCCAAAAAGTTCTCGGTGAAAGTGACGGAGCTGACGGACATCACCTACACCAGCAACCTGGTGCGCCTGAGGCCCGGCCACATCAACGTGGTCCTCGTCCTCTCCAGCGCCACCAAGACCCCCCTGCTGCAGAGGTTCGCCCAGGAGGTCTTCACCTTCACCGGGTGAGCCCCCACAGGACGGGCAGGGGAGGGGGCACTGCCTCATTCCGGGCCCTGGCAGGCAGGCAGGCAGGCAGAGGGCTGACCTTCCTGATGACCTCCCCTGACCCCCTTCTCCTCTCCCCCTCGCCCCCCAGGAGCAGCTGCCTGCACTTCTCCTTCCTGAGCCTGGAGAAGCACCGGGAGTGGCTGGAGGACGTGCTGGAGTTTGCGCAGGACGCCGCCCCCATCCCCAACCAGTACGACAAGCACTTCCTGGAGCGCGACTACGCCGGCTACGTCCTGGCCCTCAACGGCCACAAGAAGTACTTCTGCCTCTTCCGGCCGCCGCAGCCTGAGGAGGGACACTGCGAGGACGAGGCGGCCGACCCGGCGGAGGCGTGGGGCAGGCCCTCTGCCTCGGGCGGCCCGCGGAGCGTGAAGGGCAAGCTGCAGCGGCTGTCCTTCTGGATGGAGCGGCTGCTGGAGGGCTCCCTGCAGAGATTCTACCTCCCCTCCTGGCCGGCCCTGGACTGAGACCCCCATCAAAGCCCCCCCAGGACGGCCCAGAGGCGGCTGGGTTACTCGGAAGGAGGGCCCCACCCACCCCCGGAGCCTCTGGGGGGCCCCATAGACTCTGTAGCGTTTAGATGACCTCTTCTAGGCCCGGTGAGTTAGAAACCGCCTCCTTGCACTCGGGGCCACCTGACCAGGAAGGAAGGGGCTACCTGGCCCTGAAGAGCCCGGACTCTCCCAGGGGAGCCTGGGGGGAGGGTCTGCCTCCCTCCCCCTCCCCCTCCCCAGCCTTCGGAGGGCCTGCAGGAGCCGCTGCTGCTGTCCGGACCCTTGGCCTACGGATTCTTACGGCTGCTGCTCCTCCGAAGATGGGCTTTGTGGTCTCTGCAGACCCTCCACTGGGGCTCCTCCAGGCCCGGCCTCCCCCTGCATGCCCCNGGCCCTCCCGGGTGGGTCGGGGAGGATGGGCCCGGGGGTGTCCTGGGGGCTGGTCCGGGGCTCCCTCGGGGCTTCGTCCATCGCTCAGCAGCTCCGCCAGGTCCTCCTGCCCGCTCTCCCGCAGGCACAGCACGAACTCCGCCAGCGCCCTCCGGCCCCGCGTGGCCAGGTCGACCACCAGCTTCCTCGCCTGGTCCGGCCGCGGGCCCGCCGACTGCGCAGGCGCAGAGAAAGAGGGGGGGGGTAGGTTGGGGGCACGACTAGATGGCCGCACGGGGTGCCCCCCACAGCCATGATGGGCCGCGCGGTACCTGGATCTCCTCGATCATGTTGGCGGTGAAGATGCCCCGGCGCAGCAGCGGCGCCCAGAGCGGCTCCAGCTGCAGCTTCCTCACCAGTTGCACCCGGGAGCGAAGAAGGCGCCGCCGGTCCGCCTCCTCCATGGCCGCCCGCCGAGGAGAAGGCGGAAGCGCCGCCGCTGCGCATGCGCGCCACTCTGTCCTCCCTCCCTCCCGGCGTCCTTGCGTGGAGGCGAGGCTGACCCCACGCCGGAAGTCAGCGCCGCCTGCGCCGTCTCTATGGTGACGAGGCCGCCGAGCCGGAAGTGGGGACCGGGCAGACAGGAGGAGCGCGGGGTGAGTATTGCGGGCGCCCTTCGCCCCCCCCTCCTTTCCCCCGGGTAGGGGGGGGGGGCGCAACATCGCCTTGTCGCCTAGCCCGGGGGGGGGGAAATGGAGGAGGGGGAAGCGGTAGCCCCTCGCCCAGCGCCAGGCTGTGGAAGGAGCCGCCCAGGATCGGGCCCTGCTGGGAAGGGGCCGATGGATGGGGGGGAGGCAAACTGCGCTTGCGCGTCAAGGGCCCCCAGGGCATCCTACCCCCCCCCCCAAGAGGGAGGAGGAGAGTTGAGGGTCCCTCGTTGCCCCCCCCCCACCTGATGGAGGCCACAAAGCAACCTGAGCGCCCCCCCCCCTCCAAAAGGGGCTCCTGGAGTCCTGGCAGCAGAAGCAGCCCCGGAAGACCCTCCCTGGGTGGAGGCAGAAGACCCGGGAGGCCTCAGCCTGCGGAGGACGCGATGCCCCTGCCAGCTGGGCAAGGAAGGCGGCACGGAGACCCTCCAAGCAGAGCCCTCGGAAGGGTTGGCAGGGGGGGCAACAGGGGGGCCCAGGCCTGGCGGGTGAGACGCCCGAGAAGCCTCCTTCGGCCTCCTCCTCCGGCATCCGGCCCCTCCAGCTGCTGCTGAGCCAGGGAAGCCAGAAGGGCCGCTGGGCATCTGGGTCAAAGCGCCTCGTCTCTTTGGCCTCCTCCGTACAAAACGGCTCCAGGGGCTGCGAGGGCGAATTTCCCCAGCTGAACCCGGAAGTGTCGGGGCTGAACGTGAGCTTTTTGTCCAGGAGCCTCTTTCTAAATATTCTAATAGATCCTGCCTGTCCATCTGGCGCTGCTCCCCGCCCCGGATGGCTCCGTCTGCTGTGCTGCAAAATATCAGCCTTCCTTTGGGATTGTTAGAAAGAACTTAATTGTGTATGGTTTTTATGTTTTGTAACTTGTCTGTTTTTCCCCTCCCTTGAGTTGTGAGCCGCCCTGAGTCCCTTNCCCCCCCCCGTGAAGGGAGGGATTGATTTAAGGGGGGGGTCTTTGCCTGGAAAGCAGCAGGTGAGAACAGGTGCCTTTAGGACGGGAGGGGTGGAGGGGGGGCCTTTAGTGGGCAAGAGGCCTGGGCACTCGGACGGACGGTGCCAAAGCATCTCCCTTGCCAAGCGATGGCGAATGTGACCCCCTCCCTCCGCAAGTGGCCTGCAGCCTTCAGTTGCCCCCCCCCCGCGTTGCCTCCCGTCTGCTGAAGGGGAGCCCCCCCCCCCCAAAGAGACGCTGCCATCCGGGCAGGGGAGTCGCTTGGAGGGATGGCCATGAGTTTTGCACTTTTGATAGGGGGGGAGAGGGAAGGGGGGATGTCAGGGAATAATTTATTGCTCCTCTTTCCTCCCCCCCTTGCCCCTCCCCCCTTTCCGGGTACCTGTGAACAAGCCCCGCCTTCAACGGGGGGTTTGCTTGGCTTGAAGACTCAAAATCGGTTTGAAGCTGAAATAAACTTATTTTAATGTCTGGCCACAAGACGGTGCAGCCTCATTGGAAGAGGAGGGGGGGAGGTGAGTGGGGGGGTGTCCCCTGGGGCCCCACATGAGACCGGAAGCAGAGGCGTCCAGGGGAGGGGGGGGCTGCCAGATTCTCCAGGGAAATGGCATCACCAAGCAAGCTTTGCACTGGTGGGGGGGGGGCTTCATGGAGGGGGCTGCTTCACCCAAGATGCGTGGGGGGCCCGGCTGAGAGGGAGGGGTAGAAAGTGGGCCCCACCTCAGCTTCCTTGGCCCCTGCGTGTTCAGAGGGGCTCTGCTAAGGGGCAGCTGGTTCTCTTCCAAGGATCTGGGTTCCAATCTTCCTCGCAATGCTTCGTGGGGTGGGGGGGGCTCTGCTGATGCTGCCGGATGAGTCTTCAGTCTCTTCTCCTGCCACTCCCCCCTGCAGCCATGAGGACTAGCTGCTTCCCATTCCAAAAACAGGAAGGGAGACATGGCAAAGCCGGGGGTCCAGAGACAGGGGGCCCCCTCCCTTCTATTCACGTGGCGTGGAGGGGGCCTTGTGGGGGTCCCTCTTCACCCCAGGGAGGGCGCAGAGCATTTCGAAGAGCAGGTTGGCACCCAGGAGTCCCGTGTTGCCTGTCGGGCAAAGAGCAGAAGGCGCTTCGTTCATCCGAGGGGGGCCCTTCGCACCTCTCGGCCCTCCCCCTCCCACAGCCAAGTTTCCTCTGCCCAGCCTCAGCCTCCCGCTCTGTGGAATGGGTGCGAGCAGCAGGGCCCTCCGGAGGCAGCTCTGGCCACTGAATCTGACATCCGAGGAGGGGGAGCGGGACCCTCCACCCCCCAGCCTCCTTACCGGACTGATCGTACACGGGGGCCACTTCCACCAGGTCCCCCCCTACGATGCGCAGTCCTTGGCAGCCTCGGAGGATCTCCAGGGCCTGCGGGGAAGCCGGAATGAGGAGGGGGGCAGGCCACCAGCACAGCCCGGGACAACAGGGGAGGGGTCTTGGGGCGGGGACCCACACTAGAGCGTCCGGCTCACCTGGGCCGGGGTGAGACCCGCCGTCTCGGGGGTCCCCGTGCCAGGAGCGAAGGCCGGGTCCAGCGCGTCGATGTCGAAGCTGATGTAGAGGGGCCGGTCGCCCACTTGCTCCCGCACCTCGGCCATCAGGGGGGCCAGCGACTTCATCCAGCAGTCCTCGGCCAGCACCACCCGGAAGCCCTGGGGAGGGGGGGAGGGGGCATCTATTGGCGGGGAGGGCACGGGGGTGTCCTCTAAAACGGGGGGCTCCTCCCAGCCCCAGGGATGATCTGCTCCCCAAAAGTCCCAGTCAATTTAAAGGGGGCTTTGCAGCTGGACGGGGGCTGCCTTCAGGGACCCTTCCCCTATAGGTCGCCCCCTCCCCTCCACCGGCTTCTGCTGCAGGAATCTGGGTCAGCTGGAAGGGATCCCCCAGGGGAAGGCTCACCTGATCCCAGGAAAACCTATAGGGATCCGGAGAGAAGGAGGAGCCCCGGATCCCGATCTGAAAGACCCTCTGGCAGTCCAGCAGCCCCTCCTCCACGGAGCGCCTGAAAGGGCTTCCGTGGTAGATGCGCTCCCCCAGCGCTTGCTCAGAGGTGTCGGTGTGGGCGTCCACGTGGATGAGGGCCACGGGGCCGTGCCTGCGGGGGGAGCAGGAGGGCGGGTCAGGGAACCTGCCAAGCGAGGGAGACGGCCTGGAAGGGGAGGGGGATTCTGGCTGCTAGCCCTGACCTTCCCCCACCCCTCGTTCTGCTCCGGACTCACTTTTCTGCCACGGCCTGCAGGATGGGGTAGGTGATGGTGTGGTCTCCGCCTGCAAGATCCAAGAGCGGAGCCTGTGACCGGCAGCCCCTTCCCTCCCTCCCTCCCTCCCCTTTCCCCGGGGCAGGAACCTCTGGAACTGCCCACCACTGCACGGAGGGGGGAACGAACGGAGCCCTCGGCTCACCCAGCGTGAGGGGGATGCAGCCCCCAGCCACGATCCCCCGGAAGGCTTCCCGGATCCTCCTGCAGCTGTCCTTCAGGTCGAAGAGGTTGACGTTGACGTCCCCCAGGTCGGCCACCTGGAGCGAGTGGTAGGGGGCGGCCCCTGTGGACGGGTTGTAATGGCGAACCAAGATGGACTCGGCACGCAGGTGGCTTGGGCCGAACCTGGAGGGGGAGCAGCTTGCTTGGCGACCCCCCGAAAGCCAAGAATCGCCCCCCCCCCCCTCGGCCTCCAAGGGCCCCAGGAACAGGGCCAGGCTGCCCACCTGCACTCAAGAGCAGAGGAGCTTTGGGCCTTGGGGGGGATCAGGCCCTCCGGCCCTCCCTGCTCCAGCAGCCTTTGGAGGAAGGAGGGGGAGGCTGCTGGGCCTCCGGGCTTTGCCCACCATGACCCACGGAGAAAGGCGGCCCCACAGGCACCCCCCCTGGCTGTTATAGTGGGACAGTTGCAAGGGCCTCCGTGGGCCCCCCGGGGTGGCCTCTGCCCCAGTCCGAGAGATCCGGGGTGCCAATTCTGCTGCCCCTCCGAAGCGCCTGGATGGAGCCCCCTGGGACAAGGCAGGGCGGGAGGCTCAGAGGGGAGCTGGCTGGACTCAGGGGCTCAAGTCAGAGGGGGGGGGGGCAACCTCAGCCATCCCCCAAATGGAACCCACCTCTGCAGCCAAGACAGCAGTGCTGGGCCCAGGCCAGCCCTCCCTCCACGGGGCCCCTCTGAGCCAGCCGGCCTATGGCCCCAGGGGTTATCCTGGCCGGAGATCATTTGGGGATTGAGAAATCCGCTTCGTCTAATATACCA